CAGTGTTCTGCCTGCATGTACACTTGCACACCAGAAGAGGGCACCAAATCTCATTACAGATGCTCGTGAAGCACCACGTGGTTGCTGGCAATTGAACTTAGCACCTCTTGAAGAGCGTCTCTCCAGCCCCGCATTCAGTTCTTGCTCATTGCTTTCATTTCACTGCAGATCTAAAGAACTACAGTGGAAGGTACCTGTATAGAAAACCTGAAAAGTGAGAGCGATTTAAAAAATCCACTAAAAGCCGGGCAGTGGTGGCGCACACCTTTAATCTCAGCACTTTGGAGGCGGAGGCAGGTAGATCTCTGTGAGTTCTAGGACAGCCATGGCTGCACAGGGAAACCCTGTCTCAAAAGATTTTAGAGACAGGGTCCTACTGTGTTGCTCAAGATGGCCCTAACTCCTCTGTTGGCCTTGCCTCCTGAGTAGCTGGGACAGACGTATATCACTGTACCCAACTAGTACCTTAAAAAAAAAAAAAATGTTTGTAGATCACGACAGGTGGTCCGCTAATGGTGAGGTCGAAACAGGTGTTGCAAGCCTTATTAAATAAGAGTTGATGAGATAAAAATTGATTCATAGCGCTGGGTGGGGCTTGAAAGTCTGCAGGTCTAACAGGCTCAGGGTGAGACTGAGCGGCGCTGTCGTGCTATCTCCAAGGTGAAGCGACCTACGTCATCGGGCCTTCGTACAGCCGTCCCTCCCGCTTGCTCCCGCTCATCTCACAGAAACGGAGTGAGAATCAATGGCTCGACACACAGGGGCTGTCACATTTAGGCCCCATGTTAAATTATTTTTCAACCTCTTCCTATTTTTAGCCAACCGTGCATAATGGGCACAAATTAACCATAAGGAATGATGATTAAAGACAATGCAAGCTTCTGGGATCTGGCCTGCGTGCCTAGGCGACGGCTTGGCAACAGTATCTGTAGAGAAGGGAAGTCAGTGAAGCTTTGGGGGGCTCTGGCCACATTGTGAGGTCCTCTTGCCCGATACACACTCTTTTTGATGGTGGAATGCTATTGAGAATTAAGCCCAGGGTCTGGAATCATTGGCCTTATGTATGCTGGGTAAGCACGCTACCACTGAGCTATACCCCCAGCACACGTGCTATTGTTTATTCATTTTCACGTATATGGTTGTTTTGCCCGCATTATGTTTGTGTGCCATGTGTATGCAGTGCCCCTGAGGCCAGAAGTTGGCTTCAGATCCTCTGGAGCTAATAAAGATGCTTGTTAGTGGGACCGGAACCCAGGTCTTCTGAAATAGCAGCCCGCGCTCTTAACTGGTGAGCCATCTCTCAGCCCCTAATGTTATTATGTTATTTTAAAATGGAGTCTCACGCCTTTAATCCCAGCACTCGGGAGGCAGAGGCAGGCGGATCTCTGTGAGTTCGAGGTCAGCTTGGTCTACAAGAGCTAGTTCCAGGACAGGAACCAAAAAGCTACGGAGAAACCCTGTCTCAAAAAAAAAAAAAAAAAAAAAAAAAAAGATGGAGTCTCATGCATCCCAGGCTCACCTTGAACTCCTGTTTCTCTTGGCTGTATCTCTCAAGTCCTGGGATTAAGCATGTGCCCCATTATCCTTAGTTTTACACAGTGCTGGTTTTTTTTTTTTAAATGGCCTCTGTAAGCAGAGACTACACGTCCATTTCCTGACCACCCAGATACAAAAACTATATTAATTACAACACTGCTTGGCCAATGGCTTAGGCATATTACTACCTAACTCATATCTTAAATCAGCCCATTTTTATTAATCAGTGTATCACCACGAGGCTGTGGGCACCTTTAGCAACTACATGGCATCTCTTTGACTCTGCCTACTCTCTCTACATAGCTTTTCCAGCTATATTCTGCCCTAGGTCAAAGCAGCTTTTGAGACAGGGTTTCTCTGTGTTGCTTTGGAGCCTGTTCTGGAATTAGCTCTTGTAGACCAGGAGGCTGGCCTCGAACTCACAGAGATCCACCTGCCTCTGCCTCCCAAGAGCTGGGTTTAAAGGCATGCGCCACCACCAGGGCTAAACAGAAACTTGATGTGGTGTGCTTCCCTTTAATCCCAGCACTCCAGAGACAGAGGTAGGTAGATCTCTGTGAGTTCGAGGCCAGCCTGGTCTACAGAGCAAGTTCTAGGACAGGCTCTAATGCTACAAAGAAACCCTGTCTCAAAAAACCAAAACAAACCAATTTTTTTTTAAAAGTATGTATGACACATAATTAAAACCTTATTTTATGAACTAAAATTTGAGGTTATACGTAATTTTTAAAAAAGATTTATTATGTTTACAGTGTTCTGTCTGCAGGCCAGAAGAGGGTACCAAATCTTATCACAGATGGTTGTGAGCCCACCATGTGGTTGCTGGGAATTGAACTCAGGACCTCTGGAAGAACAGCCAGTGCTCTTAACCGCTGAGCCATCTCTCCAGCCCCTATATGTGTCTCTTGGTTAAAAATGATCAAGAGAACTTTGTGACCTGCACATGTGGTCCCAATTCCAATTCAACAGGACCCCTGGAACCTAGGAATTCCATCAAGGCTAGCCTGAGCAACACAGAAATCCATTGAAAACAATCTCAGTGGGTAGAAGAGATGGCTCGGTGGTTAAAAGCACTGGTTGCTCTTCCTGAGTGCCTGATGGAGTTCAATTCCCAGCAACCACATGATGGCTCACAACCATTCCTAGTGGGATATGATGCCCTCTTCTGGCATAAAGGTGAACGTGCAGAGAGAGCACTCCTACATAAATAACCTTAAAAATCTTCAGTGACAAAAGGCTTGTGTATAAGCTGTATTTTATACTAATGCCACAAGGGGACACTGCTGAGACAGATGAACAAGCAGATGGTCAGCTCAGTTCCTGGATTAGGGCCTTTGATCTGTTATGAATCTGTTTGAATTAGGTTTTAGTCATTTTTGTGGATTCCTGTGCAATTTTTTCTTTTTGTAGCTGGGTATTGAAACTTGGGCTTCAGGAATGCTAGGCAAGTGCCCTATCACTACTCTGTAGTCTCAGTCCTTTGTTAAGTTTTGCAGTTACTTTAGACCCCTGCAGGCCTTGAACTTGTGATCCCTCCTTGCCTCAGCCGAAGAAGTGGAGGTCACAATTGTGTGTCACCAAGTCTGGTTTTCATTTCAAGCATCTAAGAAATGGACCAGCAGCAAATATTTGGATTTATGCTTTTTCACGCGCTAGAACACTACTTTGCATTTTCAACAAAATAACAAGACTGAGAACCTGACACATCTCGTCAGCATTTCCAGAGCTGATGTCAGCCAAGTGTGGTGGCACATACCTCAGTCCCATCACTCAGAAGGCAGTTGGGTAGGATCTGTGTTTGAGGTCAGTCTGGTTTACATAAGGAGTACCAGTTCATAGTTAACTCAGAAAATGTTTTTGTGAGGGCCGCATGGTCAGAGTCCAACTTGTTCGATTCAGTTTTGCCAACTCACCTTTTAGGAAGCCTTCCTTCCTGAGATGGGAGTTGGGGACATCTGAGTCCTGAGATCCACGGCCTCTTGGCCAAGCTTTCCCTTCCTCATCATGCCCACATTCTGTAGTTCCCACCACAGCACAGGACACACCAAGGGACTTCAACATCTAAGTATGGACAAGGCAGGAACATACTCATACAATGCTGGCCCAGGACACCCATTTTTCTCAAGTATCCTGTATGCCATGCAGGGGTATATACAGGGGCAACCTTTGAGAGCCAATTCTTTCTACCCCAGGAATAAATTCTCTACAATGCTACAATAGCTTGAAGTACAACTCAGCAAAGGTCCTGGTTCACATCACCCACAAGTGGGAATTCTGTCATTCCACTCTACCAGATGTTTGTCTTGCCCTAAAATAAGTCCTTTAGCTCTTTTAAGTAAGTGCCACCATAGCTGTACCAGATGTTTTTGGTGGGATCTTGTTTTAGCAAAGACCTTAGCTGAGCTCAAGATTCTTCTGAATCTGATTCCATTCGCCTTACTTGTTGTGCCTTTACCTACACAAAATGCCTAGGAAAAGATCCTGCCTGGAAATGCTGTCCCTTTTCTGTAACCTCGATTCTCAAGTGTTTCCTTAGGAGTGGCCTCCCCAAAATAACACCTTCACCAGCATAGGGATTCCAAGCCAGTGAAGGAAATATAGGGAGGTCTCTAAAGAACCTGAAAGCCCTTGAGCCAAGGCCATTTGTGGAACCCAAAATGTTCCAGTACCAGTCCCCTCCCTAAGCTAAGATAGCCCAAATGATCGCTCCAGCTGCCTGAAGTACCTGTCTCCTACATACAGAACACTTTTTCCCATGAGGTAGATAAATAGGAACACCTTTGGTTAAATGCTTTCCAACTTTGTGATTCTTTCCTGCATATAAACTCGACTCAACATGAAATAGTCTGGACATCAGGTATTTCTGAAAACAAGTTTTATTTAAATAAGGGTTTAAATACATTACATAACATTAAAACTGTAAGGGAAAAGAAAACCAAAAAACCAGTTTGTTCCTTCACATGGCACTGGGTAGCTGCTACCACTGAGTTGAAACATACAGCTAGCCACATGACCGATGGCGTCAGTTTGGTATCTGTTCCCTTGTCATAAGTTTAACTGATACGAGGCTGGCCCCACCCTTCAGCTCTTCCAACATCCCTTGCGATATGCCTGGCTAAAAATATTACCCTGGTGGCAAGCCACATGTCCATGACCCCTGGGGAAAGATGGCCATTTCTGAATTCTGCCTACCTGGTCGGACACCAGGGGCTCTTACTAGAGATTCCCTCTAGTGGCATAGCTACTGTGGTGTTACCCATTCTCTTGTTCACCTGGGCTGTTCAAGTGGTGACATTCTCCTAGGGCAGGGGATTCTGTAGGGGGAGAGCCAAGGAGCTTCTGGGCAGACATAGCCTATGAACTTGGGGCTCTGGGCTTGGCTGAAACATAGTTATTGCTTTGTTTCAGGCTGGACACTGCCGGGGCTACTGCTTGACCTGTTTAAATGAGGGACTTCCAGACTAGACAGCATGGCTCTTTTCAGTTTATTGCATGAAGGAGTTACACTAGTCCAAGTTAAAAGCGGACCCCAAATGGTTACATTATACAAGCTGTGAGGTTTTTAAACTTGTGACAAGGGACAGGAGGGAAATTCTACTCATTGCAAGGAAATCCTCACTTAAGCTTCAGAGTCACAAGCACTTAAAACCCATGAACCTTCAGCTGATCGTCCTTAGCCAGTCCAATCTGCAAAGAGAAAGGGACAACAATTTTAAAGGACAGGAGTTAAGTCTGTGAATGACACCACCCACCGGCTTTCCCACTATTACACCACACGAAAGGATCCCAAACAAGGAGGGTACACCTAGCAAACATCTGGTCAACTGAGGACACACCCTCCTGACTGCCCCCTCCCTCAGACCAGCAACTAATGAGTCTGGATAGGAGATCTAAAAGCCCGAGTTTAAGATGACAGAACGTAGAAATCCCACACCTTGGAAAGGCTGAGCACTGAGGCAGGCCTGAACTCACCTCTATTAGGAACTGGCATATGTTCTTGCGCTGGTCACCCTGTAGCTGAATTACTTCTCCATATTCTGGATGCTCAATTACAGTACCATTGCAGGCAAATTTCTGTAATCACAAAAGGTGAAGAACATGAGGCTAAACAACAGCACTTGATCCCTTTCAGTTTGCATCCTCTCGCCTTGTAGACAGCAAATCGTGCTCTTTCTACAGCAGACACCCCTTTTCCATTTTTGGTTCGAGACAGGGTTTCTTTGCAAAGCCTTGGCTAGCCTCGAACTCAGATCTGCCTGCCTTTCCCTCCCAAATGCTAGGATTAAAGGCGTGCATCACTACCGCCCGGCTAGGACCTACCTTCTTAAACGCCTTCACTAGTTTCTTTTTATCGTAATCATCAGCGATCCCTTGGACAGTGGTAAGGGTCTTCCTACCGTTTCTCTGTTGAATTCTTATATGGATATAATCCTCAGTGCCAGCAGGAAGCAGGTCATCACCCTTACTTGCATCAGCAAAGGGGTCTGGGAAGAAATAATAAAAGTGTTCAAAGACCGTGCGTGGCCCTCTCCTACTGATCATCCTGGCCGTGCAGATACCAGTACTGAAACCACCTGGGCTCCAGAAGCATCCTTTCTTGTCCCTCCCAGGGCAGCTCCGTCCTAGAGCTGCAGAAAGTATGGGCCTTCTGCCCTAGGCCCGCCCTCCCTCCGCAGCTGATCACGTGCCAGAGAGCCCTAGCGGCAAGCAGTGCCCCACCCGGCTGATGCAACCAACCGGAAGCCGGGAGCCCGAGGCGAGGCCTCCCCTCCCCGCTCCTGACTACGACGGTGACGTAGGGGACGTGACGCAGGGGTGGCGGGAGGGGGCGGGTGTGGCCCGCAGAGAGGCAGGAGCCATTAGTAAATGCGCCATCAGAGACGCCGGGCCCGCCCAAGGGCTGACCTCCCACCCGTTCCTTCCGGGCACCCAGGCGCAGGTCTCGAGCCCACCGCCACCCGTCCCACCGTCCCTTCGGCTCTAAGCTAACGAGGCTCCGCCGCGCTCGGCGGTTTCACCGAGTTCCCGCCACCCCCACCCGGGCCCACGACCTTCCCCGGGCTTACCGAAAGAGTGGAGGTTCTGAATAGCGGACATACGATACGATTCCTTTTCCTCGGTGGAAACGGCCTGCGGAAGGCGGCTGCGGGAGAAGGCGGGCGGGGGGGACGGAGCGTCGGGAAGCGAGGGGGCTCGAGGGGGAGGCAGCTGAGTCCTCGGCGGCGGCTCAGTGACTGGGGCGGAGGGGCGGCGCCTGTATTCACTTATATAGCCGCCCCTGTGACGCCAGCGCGCTGCCCTCACGTCCCGGCCCCACCCAGGGCGTCTAGCGCCCCGGCGCCCGTACGCCGTGGCTTCCTATTGGTCGGGGGGCGGAGTCAAGGGGCGGCGCTTGCGCACTGGGTTTGGCTGGGAGAGGGCGTCCTGTTGTTTCAGGGAGGGGCGAGAGGGGGAGGGAAAGCTTGGTCCCCCTGTGCGCTTGCGCAGTGTTGTGGGTGGTAGTTGTCTGGCCAGCCGAGAAACTGGCGGAGGTTTCGAGTGCGCCTGCGCCTCTGGCACGTTTCATCTTGACCCTGTTGGGGGTGATGCTGCTACTAAGTGGTCTTTGGCGTTCTTTAGGGGATGAATTACAGGCTGATCCTCCCAAATTCGACAGCTCTCGGCTATGTCATAGCCACCCATTAACCCACCCTTCTCCCCACTCATTCACTGGTTTAGCCTTTTAATCGACATAAAATAATCAAAACCTGAACCTTACAGAATATCATTTGGTTTAGGATGTTTTAAAATTGGTAACCTAGCCGGGCGATGGTGGCGCACGCCTTTAATCCCAGCACTCGGGAGGCAGAGGCAGGCGGATCTCTGTGAGTTCGAGACCAGCCTGGTCTACAAGAGCTAGTTCCAGGACAGGCTCCAAAACCACAGAGAAACCCTGTCTCGAAAAACCAAAAAAAAAAAAAACCCTGGTAACCTAAAGTTGTTACTTAGATGAATTCTAAGGATGGAAGTCTTTCCCGAGGTTGGGGTGGGGACCCCAGAAAAATTCAGGCACCAGAGGATGCCCTTTGTCCTGCACACCTGTGCTTCAGGTAAAGCCTTTCTAGAGCTTCGGTGAGTTGTTTTGTTGTTGTTTTTTTAAACCAGTTAACCTTTCCTTTTTTTTTTTTTTTTTTGAGACAGGGTTTCACTATGTAACCCTGGCTGTCCTGGGACACGGTCTATAGACCAGGCTCCCCAAGAGATCCGCTAGCCTCTGCTTCCAGAGTGCTGGGATTAAGGGAGTGTGTCACCACCGCCCGGCTAGTTAACCTTTCAGTTTATTTTAGAAATTAAGTTTTCTGCAGTGCTTGGGAAGGAACCTAGAACGAGCTAGACACTCATTCTTCCACCGGGCTACAGTCCATCTCTGTTTATTGAAAGGCTCTTTGTGACAGGGGTGAGTACTGAGTGGAAGATCCAGACACCCTGAGGAGCCAGGTGAGAGAGAGGCCCTCCTCAGACCTCACCAGATCTCCTTCCACCCTTGAGGCAAATGGTCCCGGGAGAACGCAGTGAACAAAGGACAATTTACCTTCATCCACTTTGTAGGGTTCCGGGGAAATTGCACATACACTGAACTAGGGCCAACCCCATGGTATCTCAAGGTAAAGACCAAATAAGATCAGGATCTAGGACTTGTCCAGGCCTGTCCCAAAACAGAGGACTACAGCCCTCCCCAGCCCCCTCACTAACCCTAGCCAGTTAGAACATAATAGGATCGCCACCTGTTTAAGCCAATTGTAGTTGAAATGACCTAACTTCCTTAGTCACTCTCCTTAGTGAGACTTAAAAGAAGCCTCTTTCTCCTCCTAGAGGTCTTTTGCCATCTTGTTTCTGTGTGTGACACACCAGCGTGCTGGAATAATAAAAACGCTCTTGCTGATTGCCTACGTGGATGGTGCTCTTTTGCGGGACTCTCCAGGACTTTTAACACCAGAAAGATGAGATAAAAGAACAGACAGCCAAGTGTGATGTAACTGGGTTTGTCAGGGCTAAAATGAGAGCTTGAAGCTGCCTGCAGTGGCTGCCAACTACTGTCCCAGACTCTGTTCAAATACTCCCCCAAAGGTAGATTATTTTTTTTACTTATTATGTATACAATATTCTGTCTGTGTGTATGTCTGTAGGCCAGAAGAGGGCACCAGATCTCATTACAGATGGTTGTGTTGTGAGCCAGTATGTGGTTGCCGGCAATTGAACTCAGGCCCTTTGGAAGAGCAGGCAATGTTCTTAACCACTGAGCCATCTCTTCAGCCCCCAAAGGTAGATGTTTACATCAAATTCTTAACTTAAAAATATTGCCTACTGCTGGGCGGCAGTGGCACATGCACTCAGGAGGCAGAGGCAGGTGGATCTCTGGATTTGAGGCCAGCCTGGTCTACATAATGAATTCCAGGACAGCCAGGGCTACACAGAAAAACCCTGTCTCAGGCCGGGCGATGGTGGCGCACGCCTTTAATCCCAGCACTCGGGAGGCAGAGGCAGGCGGATCTCTGTGAGTTCAAGGCCAGCCTGGTCTACAGAGCGAGTTCCAGGACAGGCTCCAAAGCCACAGAGAAACCCTGTCTCGAAAAACCAAAAAAAAAAAAAAAAAAAAAAAAAAAACCCTGTCTCAAATATACACGTGTATTTGACAACTGGCTCACCCGGTGGTCACCCTTGTCATCCCAGGTGTTGAGAGAAGGAAGTAAGAGGAAAGAATTCAAGGTCAAATGAGTTCAAGGCTAGACTGCTACAGGATTTTCTGCCTCTAAACTCAAAAAGTCAGGCAGTGGTGGCGCACGCCTTTGATCCTAGCACTTGGGAAGATCTCTGTGAGTTTGAGGCCAGCCTGGTCTACAGAGTGAGTCCCAGGACAGGCTCCAAAGCTACAAAGAGAAACCCTCTATAGAAAACAAACAAACAAAAAACAAAACAAAACCCCCAAACAACCTACCAAACAAACAAAAAACCCAGAAAATTGGGCCAAGAATATTGATGCACACCTTAGATCTAGCACTTGTGAGGCAGAGGCAGGCAGATCTCTGTGAGTTTGATCTTCACCAGATCTACACAATGAAGCAATGAAAAACTGCTGGGTGTGGGTGGCGCACGCCTTTAATCCCAGCACCAGTGAGGCAGAGGCAGGCGGATGTCTGTGCGATCGAGGTCAGCCTGCTCTTCAAAGTGAGTCCCAGGACAGCCAGAGCTGTTTGTTACACAGAGAACTCTCTCTCTCTCTCTCTCTCTCTCTCTCTCTCTCTCTCTCTCTCGTTTTTCGAGACAGGGTTTATCTGTAGCTTTGGAGCCTGTCCTGGAACTAGCTCTTGTAGACCAGGCTGGTCTCGAACTCCCAGAGATCCACCTGCCTCTGCCTCCCGAGGCTGGGATTAAAGGAGTGCGCCACCACTGCCTGGCCACTATCTCTTAAAACCAAACCAAACAAACCAAAACAACGAACTGTGTGCTGGCCCCATGAACCTGTCAGTTTGTGCACAGTCTCACTGCCTCATCAGTTTCAGTGTCTTAAAGGTAAGGGCAAGCGGGACCGACAGAAAATACAGAATGAGCTAAGAACGGATTGTGAGAGGTGCTGGGGGGGCAGGGAGAAATGGGATGATGTGACAGAGTGACAGAGGTCCAGGCTTCTTCAGATGGGGCCTTTAGTCGAGGCCTGTGAGGAGGTGGCGTCTTGGCCTGGTGGGAAAGAATCCGCTATGGACCGAGGAAGGGAGCTCACCAAACAGAACATCCCCGAGGGAGGAGAGGTTGGGTGGATTTGAAAGGATTTATCTTGCAGGACTGGGGATTGAGCCTCAGATCCTGTACATGCGAGGCAAGTGCTGTACAGAACTGCAGCTCTAGTCCTGAATTTGTCTGTTTTTGTTTTTTTAGAGATGTACTTGCTTGGGGGTCTGGAGAGATGACTCGGCTGCAGTTCTAGTCCTGAATTCGTCTGTTTTTGTTTTTTTTAGGGATGTACTTGTTTGGAGGTCTGGAGAGATTACTCGGCTGCAGTTCTAGTCCTGAATTCTTTTGTTTTTGTTTTTTTATTTTTTATTTTTTTTTTTTTTTTTTTTTAAATATTTATTTATTTATTATGTATACAATATTCTGTCTGTGTGTATGTCTGCAGGCCAGAAGAGGGCACCAGACCTCATTACAGATGGTTGTGAGCCACCATGTGGTTGCTGGGAATTGAACTCAGGACCTTTGGAAGAGCAGGCAATGCTCTTAACCACTGAGCCATCTCTCCAGCCCCCTTGTTTTTGTTTTTTTAGAGATGTACTTGTTTGGGGGTCTGGAAGTATGGCTTGGCTGCAGTTCTAGTCCTGAATTTGTCTGTTTTTTTAGAGATGTACTTGTTTGGGGGTCTGGAGAGATGGCTCGGTGCTTAAGAGCACTCACTGGCTGTTGTTTCGGAGACCCCAAGTTCTAGTCCCAGACCCCACACGGTGGCTCACAGTGGTCTTCTGATGTTCTGGCCTGCACTGTATGCATGTGGTGTGCAGACAGACATATAGGCAAAACACCCATATACATAAAAATAAAGGTAAGAAATTTAAAAAAATATATATTTGCCTGCATGTATGTGCTTGACGCCTGCAGAGGCCAGAAGATTCCCTGAACTGGAGTTACAGAGAGTTGTGAGCCACCACGTGGGTGCTAGGAATGGAATCTGGGTCCTCTGCAAGAATAGCAAGTCCTCCTACCTTCTGTGCCACCTCTCCAGAAACCCTAAAGTTTGTTTTTGATTTCTACTTACTAAATGATTGGCACACACACCCTCATTCTTGTTCTTTTTTGAGGCAGGCTATCATACAGCCTTGATGAGCTCTTAACTCCTGATTCTTTTTTTGTTTGTTTGTTTGTTTGTTTGTTTTTTTCATGACAAGGTTTCTCTGTAGCTTTGGTGCCTATCCTGGAACTAGCTCTTGTAGACCAAGCTGGCCTCAAACTCACAGAGATCCGCCTATCTCTGCCTCCCGAGTGCTGGGATTAAAGGCGTGTACCACCACCACTGCCCGGCTTAACTCCTGATTCTTTGCCTCCATTTCTCAAATGCTCGAATATAGGATGTACCATGGAGCAAGGGCACTAAACCAAATTTAGATGAAATAATTTAGCTCCCTTGGCATCAGGAAAGGGAGTGCTATAGCTCATGTGCATCTCGATACCGTTCATCCAAGTTTGAAAACCCAAGGTCCCAGCC